AGTGATGCGAACGTTCTTTTTTAAACAAATTCACATTAAAAAAAGATTTTTAAAAAAGGAAGCACTAACACCAGTGGACTCAGGCGATTAACTGTAAAGGTAGGACAACAGTGATGTGACTGACACCACTTAGCTAGCAGGGGACAGACGGATGTCACGTGCTTCCTGGTGGGACATGCTGAGAAGGACGTACTCACTCCCATGTACTTCTGCCAAAAGTGCATCCCTAAATCTCATGTCAGGAATGGACATCACACAAACCCAAACTGGGACATTCTACAAAAACCAGACTTGTACACTTCCAAAGCATCAGTGATATGAACCATGAAGATGGATTAAGGAATGTGCTCCAGATAGAAGGCACAACGTGACAACAGAATGCCACGGGTGATGTGGGATCAGTGCAGACCTGGCCTGCCCTGTCTGAACCCTTCAGTTTTGCTCCTCATAACTCAGGGCCAAGGGAGAGAGCCCCTGGCACCCTGAGACCCATACTGCGTTCTCCCGTCCAAGGGGCAACCAGAACTGCCTTGCCTTCTCTCCGGCTCCTTCTGGGTAAGCCTCCAGCCAGGCCTCGGGGTGCGCCTGCCTCCCCCCATCCTTGTCTATCTCTTGCCCGGACTACAGCCACGGCCTCTGCCCAACCTGTGCCTACAGGCTACCCGTGGCCGTATCCCCACGGAAGATAGGTTTCTGGGCAGGGCAGGCAGGCCCAGCCTGGGTGTAGTGCTGGAAGCACAGCTGCCAACTGGCACCTGGAGGGACTAGGCAGGGAGAAGAGCAGCAGCTGTGGCACCCAGCAGGGAGAGAACTCTTGCCTGGGAGACCCCGTAGTGGGATGGGCTGAGGGTCCCATCTGTGCCAGGCCATCCAGGCTGGCAGCAGCAGAGTCTTCTCTCCATTCCAGCCCCACCACCCTGGTGTATGGAAATGGCCCGTGGGCCTCCCTCTGTGCCCAGGGGGCTGGCAGGCACCAGCTGCTCTCATGAGGATCCAGGACAAATCAGAGCTGCTGGGATGTGAGGACGCTTTGCTCCCAGGCCAGCCTTTCTCCTGAGCAGCAGGAGTCCCGAGGCCCCATCCCCGTGCCTGGGCGATACTTAACACTCAAGGAAACTGCAGCTCTCGGCTCTACAGGGCTTCCCAGCTGGTGCCCTCTGGAGACCACAGGCCAGTGGGAAAGGCCTCCCGAGGGTCCCCAGGCAGGGAAGGCCCAGTGGGAAGCAGACCAGGATGCACGCAGCACTCAGGCAGCGAGCCCTGTGCTGATGGTGGGATATAAATACTCATGTACATGTACACACTTCCCATATGTCTGGCTGCTAATAATAACAGTGGATGATATTAACACATCACTTACTGTACACAGGGAGGTCTAAGTGCCTTACGCAGATCTAATTTAATCCTCAGTTACCCAGTGGGGTAGATCTTACAGAGGGGGCAGTAGAAGCACAGGGAGGTTAAGCAGCACACCCAAGGTCACAGCTAGGGCTGGGATTTGAACCCAGGTAACCTGACTCTCTCTGGGGGCACTGTGGTTCCGCTCTTGGCTGCTAGACCTTGGCTGCTAACAGAAAGGTCAGCAGTTTGAACCCATCAGCTGCTCCAAAGCAGAAAGGTGTGGCAATCTCCTTCTGCAGATTTCAGTGTTGGAAACTCTACAGGGCGGTTCTACCTGTCTTACAGGGTCGCTATGAGTTGGAATCAATTTGATAGTAATGAGGAATCTGAATCTGGAGCCCCTGCCTGAAGCAAATGGTTGATGTGTTCAGCTGCTACCTGAAAGGTTGGAAGTTCAAGTTTACCCAGAGGCACTCAGAAGAAAGGCCTGGAAATCCACTTCCAAAAATTCAGCCATTGAAAACCGTAGGGAGCACGGTTTTACTCTGTCACACACGAGGTCACTGTCAGAGCAGACTCCGTGGCAATTGCTTAAGGTGAATCTAGAACCTTTACTCTTAACCACGGCCTGAACACTGCCTCCGTAAAGAGGTTCCCAGCTAAAGTTTGAGGAACAGCACCATGTACACACCTAAGAGAATGAGAGAGATGAAGGGAGATGAGGGGTGCTCCCTTCCATCATGAGATCCACCCCAGTCCCTCAGTCTGTGCTTCCTAGGTCGGTTTGTATGCAACACGTGGCTACCGAGAATGAGCGAGGACTGACCACCGGTGTCCGTCTGCTTCCGGGAAGCGACTGCAGGTATGGAGGTGCCTCTGATCACCAGCAGTTCTCCCCTCCGGCCTCTCCTGCTCCCAGCCACCCCACCCCTACCCCTACCCCTACCCCCAGGTCTTCAGTCCCTGAGGACTTAGGGACAGGGAAAAGGGAATGCCAGGCTCCCCCATGTCTCCAGGCAGCCCCAGGCCACCCTACTGCCCAGGGTCAGGCCATGTCACTTCGAGAGCTTTGCAAGGGCGTCCTTGAGACACACTTCCTGGTGTTTCTGTGCAAGCAGTGTTTGCTGCAAAGTATGTCAAAGCATTTGGGCTTCAGTTTTTGGTCCAGAACATGCCAATGTTTTCATTTGGAAGGGGAAGTGTTTCTGTTGATGTGATGAAAAGATAAAAATAAAATGTTCTCTACCAAGTTACACTCTATGAAAGTCAAGCGCTTGCCTTGGGGGAAGGGATTCATCTTGGGATCCCTGGGACCTAGCACAGGGCCTGGCAAGAGCAGGCAGGCCCAACGTTTGTGGGATGACTGAATGAGCAAGTATGCCAAGGGCCCGGACCAGGGTGGTATACGATCAATACTCAGTACAGGTTCTGAAGGGCTCCTGTAGGTTCTACCTCCAGAAGGTGCTGTCTTCATGTTTCTCCATCTTCAGTAACCTTGCTGTCATCCAAGCCTGTCACCTCCTACCGGGACAACTGAACAGCCTCTTCACAGGGCCCTCGGCTCCTACACTTGCCCCAACAGCCCCTTCTGCCCACAGCTGCTCAGCCTCTTTGAAAAATGTGAACTAGATGGCATCATGCCCTGCCTGAAACCTCCTGATGGCTGCCAGCTGCTCTCAGTTGTGGCCTCTCAGGCCCTGCCACCCAGCCACTAGCCTCCCCTGGTGCTGTCTCCAGCCACTCTGGCCACCTTCATGTCGTTGGGACAGCCAACCCTCTCCCACCCCAGGGTCTTGGCCCTCGCACTTCCTGATGCCTGGGTCACTCTTTCCTGCATTTCTGTGTTTGGCTCTATGAATCTGGGGCTCAGCTCAAACATGTCACCTCCTCAGAGAGCCTCCCTGGCTCCTAATCTGAAGCAGCTCATTGCTACCCTTCTGTTTCAGTCATGTACTACTAACTTTACGGAGCAGCAATGAGATGCCAGGCGCTGTCCAAAGTGCTGATGGACATAATGGCAGGTGGGGCGGGAGCCTGCCTTGTGGAACTCACAGTCTTCGTGCATGCCTTCACAGCTCTTAAACACATCTCTGAGGATCTTTCTGGAGTGCCTGCTTGTCTTCCTCACCAAGCGCCAGGAGGGCCGGGCCAAGTCTGTGCTGTTCACTGTATTTACTCACCAGGCACAGTAGGTACTTACTGAACATGTGTTCAATAAACAGTATACTGGTAGGTGGGTGGGTGGATGGATAGATGGACAGATGGAGAGAAGGCAGGTGAACAGGCAGAGCACCTGGCGCACACTCCACCTGGCACCTGGCTCCCTTTAAGATCTCACTCAGGGATGTCCCTGGTCCCCAGCACTGCAGCAAAAAGGTCCTGCCCCACCCTTTGACCATGGTCATTTTGGCAAAGATGGGCAAAAGGAGAGGGGTCAACTCAGGCTGCTTGGCATAAGGGGTGTCATGGTCTGTTTTCCAAAAAGAGGCCCCAAACATCAGCTTGACTTCCCCTCCACTGCCCCTCAAGGCCCAGTGACACATGTCCAGTGATACACCAGCACCTTTCAGCCAAGGCGCCGGGCTAAGAAAGTACATGTGCCCTGCAAACCCCAACCCAACTTGGTAGCCACCTGCCTGCGGGCTTGCCTGTCTCTCCCAGGCCAGCTTCCTGTTGGCCTTGCTGCTGGCCAAATCTTTCTCCTTCTTGGACCTTGAATTCCCCAATTCCAACACACAAGGTGAGGTCGGTCAGCCCTGGGGCAGAACCTCAGGGCAATCATCTGTGGTCCCTTCTCCTGGTGACCCAAGAGCTTCCTGGGGCCTGGGAAACACCGCTGGGCTGGCCAAACCCCAGCAGCAGCCCCACCCCTCAGCATGCCTGCTCTGCAAAGGCAGCCTGCGAACCTGGCAGCCCCTGCAGACCAGAGCTGCAGAGCGGGGACACCCTGAAACCCGACTCCACAGCCAGCAGCACAGCAAGGCCAAAAGGAAGTATGGGTTCCTTGCGGAATGAGGTTCCTCCTCCCCAGCTTCCACCGGGGAGCCCCTGCCCCAGTCAGTCCCCCCAAGGGGCCACACTACAAAAGCTGGCTCCCGAGTTCTTCTGACACCCCCAAATCTTTATCCTTCCAAGACTGGTGAGAATCCCCAAAAGGCCAAGGTCACCATCAAGCCAGGCTGAGGATGGGGGTGGGGAGGAGCTCACAGCTCTGCTCAGATGGTTCCAGGGGCACAGGCTTTTGCCAGACCAGACGCTGGGGTGGGAGGTTCCATGGCTGCCCCAACACCACTGAGGCCCTGCCTCCTCCTCCTGTCAACTGCTGTCCCCTTCACCAGGGGAGGTTTTCCAGCCCCAGTGACGGGTCTCACAAGGGTCTGGCCATCCCCAGCCTCGGCGCACCTGCAGGGGGCGCGCGGAGGAGTCAGATGCCTGGGGGAGGAGGGGTGTGCGTCCGGCCTGGCCACCAGCGTCCCAACCCGCCCTCGCCTCGCGCAGCCGGCGCACTTACAGGACTCGGCGCCCCGGGAGGACCTCCCCTCGGGGGTCCCCTCCCCGGCCAGACGGTGCCTTCAAACAGCGACGGCGGCGGCATGGTCTGGGCGGCTGGTCCAAGCGTGGCGGGTCGTGGTGGGAGGGGAACGGCAGCAGCCTGGGCCTCACTCCAAATACGCATCGAAGACGTCGAGCTCCGAGTCGGCGTCGTAGAGGCCCGAGCCGGGGTCCGAGAGCACGCCGAGGTCCACAAGCGCCTGGTCCATGTCCTCCGGCAGGAAGACGAGGCCCACGTTGAGGACGATGTACTCCATGAGGAAGGCGTAGTACAGGATCAGCACGTTGACGAAAAACAGGCCCACGTAGAACATAGAGGGCAGCAGCGGCGGCGGCGGCACGTAGGGGGCCAGGGGGCCCAGCGCGTCCAGGTGGGCC